TGTGTTGCAACTGCGAGGCCATGTTCCAAGGTCGCAGAACTCCACAAATTGCTTCGCAAATCACCCGTGGCGACTCTCAGCAAAAGATGTAGAAGGCTCAGAAACACCAAAATTTAGCCCTACGGCAAAAAACGCCTGAGTAACGCCAAAAAACGCCTGAATGATGGCAGAAAACGCCTGAGATTTTTGCCCCAAAATCACTACACTCATCGTCACTGGCATGATATGAGAAGGATAGGGCAGGTGCTTCTCCATGCCAGGCTGCTCAATCTGCAGACAACCGACAGCGTGCAAAGACAGTTTTGAAGCAGGCTGCGCACATGTCGTCAGGCCATTTCATATTGCACACTATGGCAATGAATTTACTACGTGACAAAGGCAGATGGGTGCCGCCAGCAATCTGCCAGCAAGCCGAAGGCAATGTGTCGTCTTCAGAGCACATTCTTTTCTCTCTGTCTGCTTTTAGCTATTCATTTCTCTATGTGGATTTGTACTTTTCTACGTTTTGTCTTTCTTTTCTTCTTTTTTCCTGTGTTGTTTTATCTTTCTCTCGCTCTCTCCTTCTCTCCCTCTATCCCTTTCTCTTTGTCTGTCTCTTGTTGTCACAAACCACATCGATTCTGGAGCCCCTCTTTCATTCCTCCCTCTGTTGTTCTTTCTTTCTTTCTTTCCTGCTTTCTTTCTCTCTCTCTCTCTCTCTCTCTCTCTCTCTCTCTCTCTCTCTCTCTCTCTCTCTCTCTCTCTCTCTCTCTCTTTCCCCTCTCATTGTCTCTGCTTCTCAAGAAGACTACGTGTTGATATTAGAGCCCTGTGTCTTCATGCCTCTCTCTCTCTGTGTGTCTGTCTGTCTGTCTGCCTGTCTCGCTCTCGCTCTCGCTCTCGCTCTCGCTCTCGCTCTCGCTCTCGCTCTCGCTCTCGCTCTCGCTCTCGCTCTCGCTCTCGCTCTCCCTCTCCCTCTCCCTCTCCCTCTCCCTCTCCCTCTCCCTCTCCCTCTCTCCCATTCCACCCTCTGACTCTCCCTTACTTTCCCTATCCCTTTCGGCCCCTCCCCCTCTCCCTCTCCTCTCCACTTACCCTCCTCCATCATCCCCTGCTCCATCTTGCCCTCCTCACTCTCCCTATTTCACTCTCACTTCCTCTCCCTCTCCCTCCCCCCACTCTCGCTCTCTCTCTCTTTCGATATCTCTCTTCTCTTCTCTATCTCTCTCTCTCTCTCTCTCTCTCTCTCTCTCTCTCTCTCTCTCTCTCTCTCTCTCTCTCTGTCTGTCTGTCTGTCTGTCTGTCTGTCTGTCTGTCTGTCTGTCTGTCTGTCTCTCTCTCGCTCGCTGTGTGTCTCTAATAAATGCAATCGTGTGTGGGATTGCGTAATTATTAATTATCTTGAATCTCTTCTCGATAAAAAGAAAAATAGAGAGAGAAAGAAGGGAAAGAGAAAGAAGGCAGAAAGAGAGGAAGAGAGAAGGAGAGAAAGAGAGGGGCTGTGGGGCTGTGGGGGCACGGGGGCTGCGCTGCGCAGCTGCAGGCTGCGCGCCTTGCGGCGCGCTGTGTGGGGGTTGCGGGGGGGGGGTGGGCTGCGGAGGGGGGGTGGGGGGGTGGGGGGGTACCAGCATGGACAAGCACCCTTGTCCATCTTGGTGGGTTGTGGTTGGGGGGTTTTGGGGGGGTTTGGGGGGGCTTGGGGGGGGTTTGGGGGGTTTGGGGGGGGGTTTGGGGGGTGGGGGGGTACCAGGATGGACAAGCACCCTTGTCCATCTTGGTGGGTTGGGGGGTTTTGGGGGGGTTTGGGGGGGTTGGTGGGAACAAACCCAGCATTTTGGGTGGTGGCCACTGAAAATATTACCCCCCCCCCTCCCCCACCTATCCCGCGAACCGAAACTTGGAAAGATCGGGTTGCCGAAACCCACAACGGTTGCTGCGTGTTGTTGCGTCGCTATATCTTTCGGCTCTCTCTCTCTCTCTCTCTCTCTCTCTCTCTCTCTCTCTCTCTCTCTCTCTCTCTCTCTCTCTCTCCCTCTCTCTCTCTCGTCTCTCTGCGTCTCAACCCTATCAACTGATCCCTGCATATCCCATCACACCTCTCTTTTAAGATTCACCAAAAACACCCCTCCTATAATCTCACAACAAGGTGCCCTTGGCTTCGATACCCCATCAACCTTTGAGAAGGCCAGCGTGGCAGCCACGCCAGAACTGTCCGTTGCAAGATTTTAGGGGTCATGTGCACGCGACAGATTCGCATGCTCTAGCGGATCGGCAAAGCTTCTTTGAGGGCAGGGGGCATGTCAAGAGATTTGCTGCACCGGGCATAGTCATAGACCTGGTACAGCTCAGCATCTAGCCATTCATCCCCTTCATGTGTGTCGCGGAGGAAGCTGACGAGGCTGATGTTGATGCCAAGATCCTGCAAAATGCGCGCGGTTTTAGGTTTCTAGGGTGATTGTAGCTTATATTAGTATGTGGGCTAGAGGGTCTAAATTAGGACCGGGTTATAGAGTTTAGGGTATATAGTTTGTGGCTGTCCGTTCTCGCCCCGCCCCCCCCCTCTAGGTATATCCACCCCTTTTACCCGTAAACCCTAAACCCTAACCCGAAACCCTAAACAACCCTAAACACTAACCCTATATAAACCCTATATACCCCTTATAAACCCTAAACTCTAAGCCCCAAACCCTATGTAACCCTATAATACCCTATAATACCCTATAATACCCTATAAACCCTACCCAACCCACAACCGCAACCATATAGGGTTTCAGGGTCCCCTTCCCCCACGCGCACTGCTGCAGGGCAGCCTCGGGGAAGCGTGGTGCTTCCGCTAGCAACTCGCCACGCATCTTGAGGAGCTGGCTGCAGAACTTCATAGGGTACACCCTGAGTAGCCAAACAGCAGTTGGATTGTCAGGGCTTCTGTCTTGTGTGAGCAATAGTGAAGAGTGGGTACTGCCCCCACCCTGTAACAGTCTATACTAGTCGAGTATTTATATTTACTATATATATATATATATAGGCTCTATATATATATATATATATATTCATGATAGTTATTATCCAACTGTTACAGAGTGGAGGCAGTGCCCAAACTAAAGACGAGGTTCTGAGTTGCACGTAGACTGGGTAACCCTTGCCAGCACTTGACTCCTTTTGAGTTCGTGTAGCGGTGGGAAGTTGGATATTGGCACTTGTGGATCGTTTTCCGGATCTTGCCCTTGTTCAGCAACCGTATGGCACTTGCCCAAGACCACACCAGTGTCCGTTTCCAAGTAGCATGGCCCCACAGCTTCATCCAGAACCCCTGCCTGAGCACCTTAGGTTGCTGGTTACTTCGAGGAAACCGGTTCAAGCCTTCTACATTTTAGGGTTTAAGGTTTAAGGTTTATACTTGGAAGCTCTTTTGACTTCGTGAGTATATAAAGTAATCCCCATAACCCAATTTCTAACCCTACTCACACAGTGAAAAGGGCTTCCAAGTAGGGTATATATAGGGTGCTGGCCAGCTTCCGGGATCTTTTGTTTGCGTAAGAAATTGACCATCCAAACAAAGCGAGGATGGCGGTGCAGCATTGTTGATGCAGGGTTTTCTATGACTGGGACACATTCCAAGGCCATCAAGAGGATGACCAAGAGCATTGACCTGACCGTGTACAGGCATGGGGGGCAGGGAGCCTATGAGGGTTTAGGGTTTGTAAGGGTTTACATACGGTTGATACCTGCACTACCCTTGCACTTCCCGAACCCCGCCTGGAGGCCATCTTGTTGGCACGATAGCAGGATGGTTGATTAGGGTTTCCCTCTGGCACAAGATCAGATCTCTCTGATGTGCCACGGTTGGCATTGACGAAACTGGAGCAGCATATCCCCATAATGCAGAGGCAGCCAAAGAGTTTGGCATGCAGCAGAACGGCGCAGTGCAGCCTCATTGATGCAGTACCGCATAGTACACCAAGAACCACATGACCCGAACACAAGCTAATCAACAACGTGCCAGGACCTCAATCAGGAAGCAGGAATCCGGCGTTGCTGTTAATGTCCATTGCGTGGCCATCGACATACTCTTTATCTAAAGCACACACAGGGAGATTCAGGATCTTCTTCGCTAGGGTGGCAATGCGCGCAGATCCTGCGAAGAATTCTACCACCTGGAACTCTGAGACTGGTGTGGTGTCCCTGAAGATCTGCATGTGCATGAGGAGCAGCAAGACTTCTATGAAAGCCTCACTCACAGACACAATCCCTCATTGTTTAGGCAGCACACTTTGTAGCTCAAGCGTACGCTCTTGCTGCCTAAGCACCTTGGGGGCCTTCATGAAAATCAACCTCTTGATGACAAGCTCCATCTTCGGAGGTAGATCCGACCAGCAAGTTTCAAGGTCCATTGCGATCGAGAGCCGAACCCTGTTCTAGAGACCCCTAATGACGCAGCGGGCTGTAAATTGTGCTTTCTGGTATTCTACTTGTTTGTACCCCAACCATTTGCACCCCTTGTCCGCTAACATGCCTGCGTGAAAGAGACAGGTCCAGAGAGAGCAGTTTCGAACTGGTGGAGAATCTGTCTGCAGGCCTGGCGTGACGTGTTTTTAGAGGGGCGGGCCACACGCCTGCGGTTTCTGGTAGAAGTCCATAGCGAGCTCGGCGTGCGTAGCCAGCAGGAAGTGCGCCACTCATACACAATACCTGGCAGAAATCAGCTTAGGAGTTGCAGTTGCTGATGCGAGCTGATACCGAGTGCATTGTGTTGGCAGAGCCAGCCGCTTCCGTGCTCATGGATCTGAAGCACTGTGTGTCCAGACAGTTAGGACCCCAGAAAGAATCCCGGCAGCATGTGTGCCAGGCTGAAATGATATGGATCGGCAAAAGCAGCGCTTCTAAGCGCAAGCATGTCACCCAAGATGTGGGTACTTGAAGGAGCTGGGGTGCAAGGATGCGCATGCAGATTATGATGGTGTAAAGAAACATTCCCAGCATGCTTCACACTCCCACATCTACCGACTGCACACAGGAGTCCCCTATATCACATGCCACGCAAGCGCTCCTTGCCACACGCTCAGGCCCGCAAATAACCTGAAGCTGGCACACATGGGGGTTGAGGAAAGGGTGGGGGCCGATTTTAATACTTGGTTCGAGAAACGCTGGGTGCTTTCCAGGGCCAGAAAGGAGTTGGCACACGTCTTGCACAACTTGGGCAGGTTGACATCTGAGGCCTTCTTGCCCTTCAGCTGCTCCATGACATGCGACCAGTACGGACCCTGACAAGGGCTGCGCGCAACAGAAAAAACAAATTGACTGCGCAGCACATGCTTTGGTTGGCGCCTCACAGCTGGCACTGAAGAAGACTTTGGGGCTGACATAAAGGCCGAAAGAATCCCGAATGGCCAACCACTTGGCTCTGGCCCAGGCATCCTTGTCAGGCTTGTTTCTGCCTGCGAACGTTGCCTTAATCTTCTTGGCACCAGCGTTCTCCTCGTCTGTGTTGCTGTTGTCACCACCCTTTGGCTTTCGGCCACGTTTCTTCCCTGGCACCACCGCCAGCGGTTCCTCCGCCACCTCGGCCGGCTCTACGGCCTCTGGCTCCTCCGTTGGCTCATCCACAGACACTGGTCTTACGGATTCATCTCCAACGTTGGCCTGCTCACCTTCAGCCTCACCAGCATTGGTGTCCTTGCCCTTGGCCTTGGCTCCAACCTTTTTCTTGGGAACGGCCTTGGCCTTGCCCTTGGCTGCAGCCTTACCCTTGGCTGCAGCCTTCCCCTTGGGTACCTTGCTCTGGGCTGGCGCCTTTGCCTTGGCCTTAGCCTTGGCTGTGGCTTTCTTGCCCTGGTTCAACTCGTCGAGCTCATCATGTGCAGCAGGAGCTTCAGCAGCAGCTTCCTGAGCAGCCACTTTTAGATCATCTCGTAGCCTCATCTGCTCCTCCCGAGTGAGGTTGCACACATTATGAAAAACATCAGGCTCGGCATCCTCGAGGTTGGAGACACTACTGCCCGCACGTGCGCTGTCTGGGCTGTGTGACCCATCGGAACCACCAACCATTGGAGGAGCATGGTCAGCCGCATCAAACGACTCCTTCAACTTCCTGGCAATCGGAGAAAGATCTGCCAGCTGCGTGTCCTGATTCTCTGCCTGCACAACCTCCCGAGCAGGACTCGAACGGGCCAGCAATGGCCGAGCCACCGCACGCTGCCTTCGCTCCAATTCTTGCCTGAGCTGTAAAAAGGGAAGAATCCTAATGTTATTGTACACAGATCGTTCACAATATAACAGTCCGGTCCTGACAAGCTACTTCAATATCGCAGCAATGCGTGTGTGGCGTTCATTGCCACTCGTCTTCCAACGCTTGGCTGCGGGGCTATGCACTGGGGAATCGGAGATCTCAACGATATCTGAAGGCGAAGCCATGGGAGGCTTGGGCTCTGTACTTGCCGAGACTGGCTCGCTTACATTCAGCTTGCCAGCAAAATCTTCGGTGATGCCAGTGTGCAAGGAGGCTTCTGATGGGCCTTTGGGGACTGCTACTTGAAATCCTAGATTAAGGGCAACCTTCAGTGTTTCATCATCAAGAGCATCCTCACCCGAAAGCACTTGTGAGCATGACTCTGGAGAGTCTGCAGCGGATTCATCCGAAGCACTTGCCTCTTGGCCCTCTTCGGCCTTCTTTGTCTTAGTGGGCTTTGGCACCCAGTACTTGGCCATCTGCTCAAAGAGAGAGCGAATCACTGGGTCCTTATAAAAATACTGTGCTGCGCACGAGCACATGCCATGCACATAAAAAAAGCACATTGAATGCAACCAACAATGAAACATAAACTTAGAACACACCAGGCAGCCCGTCTCACAGATTCATCGTGGCGTCGAATCATGTAGGAGAGGAAGGCACGTAGAGTTGTAGCATCAACATTGGTACGAACTACGTCAGCAGGCATCGAGAAGTGATCTCGCAACGATACGATCTATCAGGGGGCACAAGAGCATATCTACAGAGTGGCGTGCGGCAAGACAATAAAAACAACAAAGCCTGCCTGCCTCTGCTCGAGCATGAGGCTGATAAACGGTCTTCGCTTTTTGCATCTTCGGACACCAGTTTTCGATGAGAATCGACAAGAGGCGCGAGTTGGGACGCAAGGTCTCATAGTTAATGACACCAGTCTGCCCCGGGGTTGGCCAGGAAAAGAGCGTCTTGCTCTTCACGAAAAGTTTGCGTATGACCGGATCGTCAGCCAACTTCTGCCATAGCCCTTCAAGGTTTACTCCATCAACCGGCTCCTCCTCTTCACCAGAACCCGCCATTGCGCCCACTAGTCAAAGCCCCCCCCCTTTCAAAAACAGAGCTGATTTTTGCGTGCAAACATTCATTGCGATCATGCTCCGATTGCACGCACGCAAGCAGTGTACACGAACAAAAATCAGCAGGGACACTATAATCAGGCAGCAAGACCAGCACAGGCCAACCATGCCACAGCCTGCGCGTCAAAATATGCATCGGTGAAAGGGTGCGGCTGTGCAGCTTCTGAATGAACTGAGTTTGGCAAGGGGCATGATGCATTCACTTTTTGCAAATTTGCGTAGTCTGCTTGCCATGTACGCACTGTATCAGCGTGACTTGCAGCAATTCCATGCACTCCCCTGCACGGATGAGATCTGTCAGGCTGTTCATTGCATGTACACTCTAGGAGAGATTGAATCAGTTTGCTGAGCGAGCTGCAGGAGCCCTGGCGTCTTCACCTGGGCCAGACAAGATCAGATAGACACAGCTGCGTGCGAGCTGAAAAGAATCTGCAAGACTTCTTGCAACAGCAGCTGCTTTGGTGGTTCTGGCCGATTCGCCATAGATAGCGCACAACCCCTCCAGCATGGAAGTTCTGCAAGAGCACCCAGGCACGCGATTCAGATATCGGCACCTGCATCTTCGGTAGCTCGCTGCTGTTGAAAGGCTAAATTGCACAGGCGTTCCAAAGACTGGCCAGCCTCTACCGGCTGATCGGGGAAGACTATCTCTTGGCAGCGCATCCAAAAGAGTGATGGAAGGGTAGCCAAGCCTAGGTTGCAAAGAAGCTGAGAAGGGTGTGAGGAGTCGATCGACTTCGCACATTGTTCTGAAACATTATTGTCATGCAAGGCACCATACTTTTCAATCTCGGCAGCAAGCACGATGTTCATCGAAGCTACATCCATGGTAGCGGCTAGAAACGGTCTATGAGCACAGTTCCTGAAAGAAAAAAGCTGCGGGGCAGCTAAATTTGAGCAGAAGGCTGTGCCCTAACAAAGCGTAATTTGCAAAGCAGGGTGCAGACTGGGGCGGGTCGCACCGGTCAATGCAGCGCAGCCATCAGGACATCAAAACAGCATCCATTGAGCCATTGAAAGGCTGTATGAATATCAACAGATCAGGCCTGCAAGCCTCATCCAGCAAGCCCCGGCTACTTGAAATCAAGAAAACGCCTGCAGGCGTTTTTTCAGGGCTCAACCCTGTTCAGGCGCCTGAAGCTGAAAAGGCTTAATTTTCAGCCTGGAGAGAAAGCCCAGGTAACCCCGCTGTAGCTGTGCATTGTTGTATTGACAAGCGACTCAGGGCCAAGTTTGCAGTAGTCTTGCCAGTCTCCCCATTCTTCAACGCTCTGTTTGATGCTGGGTGTAGGAGGGCTGTTGAGAGTTTCCGGACCCACCATGTACCTATGTCACAGGCGGCAGGCACTCCACAAATGACCCTTGCTTTCAACGCGCAGGAGACCCCCATTTGCGGACACTCCCCTAGTTTGACCGTTGCAGCTACTACAGGACTCACCCTTGCTTTCAACGCGCTGGGGGCCATATCCCGAACCCCTTTAGGGTGTAGTCCCAACCCGTGTGCACACCCCCCCAGTGCTACAGAGGGCACAGGCACTCCACCGCTCATTTTGGGGCTGGGCCCTATCCTTGCTTTCAGCGCGCTGGGGGCCACCTCCCAAACCCCTTTTGGGTTTAGCCTTAACCCGTGTGCACACCCCCCCAGTGCGACACAGACCGCAGGCGCTCCAACACCGAAGGTTCACCTGTCGCTGCGGCTGGACCGTGCCTTTGCTGTGCACGCGCTGGGGGCAATCTCCCTAACCCATTTCGGGTATAGCCCAAACCTGTGTGCACACCCCCCCAGTGCGACAGAGACTCCACGACTCTTGCTGGGGCTGCCACTTCCCTGACCCCTTTCGGGTTTAGCCCCAAACCTTGTGCGCACCCCCCCAGCGCAACACAGTCCGTAAGCACTCCACGACTGAAGGGGATGAACCCCACCCTTGCTTTCAACGCACTGGGGGCCACATCCCCAACCCTTTTCGGGTATAGCCCTAACCCGTGTGCCAACCCCCCCAGTGCGAAGGTTTCTGCCCTTGCGTTCAACGTGCTGCAGGCCCCCTCCCCAAACCCTTTCGGGTCTAGCCCTAACCCGTGTGCACACCCCTGCAGTGCGACACAGGCCGCAGGCACTCCACTGAAGCTCCACATCTCGCCGGGGCTGGACTTTGCCCTTGCTTTCAACGCACTGGGGGCCACCTCCCAAACCCCTTTAGGGTATAGCCCCAACCCGTGTGCTCACCCCCCCAGTGCGACACAGGCTGCAGGCATGCTGCTGGGGGCCACCTCCCGAACCTCTTTTGGGTCTAGCCCAAACCGCTGCGCACACTCCTGCAGTGCGACGCAGACACCTGCGGATGAACCGTCAGAAACACTTACACTACACACGCCTCTCCATGTGCCCTGGGATGTTCGACCGCAGCCGGGTGCACCTGTCTTGGTTGCGCTCACACCTTCTGGCGTTTGTTGCTTGAAAAGACATGCGCACGATTTTCTGGCACAGCTCAAGTCCCTTTTCCTGAAAGTCATTGGAAGGGGTTCAGGCGACGCAGTGTGCCTTGACGTTATGGGGCGCCCGGTCCCAGAACTTGAAAAGCTGCCAGCCTGGACCATTATTACTTCCATCGATCAAGTGCCCATGCAGCCGCCCCAGTATGCACCAAGCAGTGTCTCAGCCACGAGGGTCAGGCGACAGGGTCAGGGTTTCTGCTTCCAAGTGCCATCCGCTTTTGCTGCGCATTGGTGCATGCACCTGCCCATTGCGCTGATTGAGGCCATGGGCTGGTCGGTCACCTTCGGCGCCTTCCCTCCACGAGCGGTTGATAGGCTACAAGTTTCCCTCCAACCAAAGCTTGCAGGCTTTGTGATATCTCCAGAGACCATGCAAGGGCTGCTGCGTAAGCAAAGTTTCTTGGGGCAACTGTACCAACTCGCCAAAACACAGCCGCCAGGGTGCCCTAAGGTTGAGGTTGAGCTTCAGTGCCAGGCCGAGACTGTGGCGTTCACATCCTTGCCCGCTGCAATGACTGTGGAAACCATCCTCAACTGCTGGCGGTCTGCCAGCCTGTTCGCTGGTTGTTGGCCGAAGGCCAGGGTTACATCGGGCCCGTTCCCGCTCCCTGTCGAACGCAACCTGCAGACAAACGGAGCGCAGCCCCTGTTCCGCCGTAAGGGATCCAGCCGCATTTTGCTTTGTGTCCATGTTGAGCATCGAGGTGGCGGCGCTAAGGATGACGGGGTCCAGTTGGCTAAGACGAGGATTGCCTCACTGTTGTTGGACAGAGGAGTGAGCCTGCATGAAACTACGGTTGTCACAGACCGCCTGTTAGACAAGCTCGGGGCCTCCAAATGCCTGGCTCTGGTTAAGCCTACTGACCCGGCCCAGCGATGGGAGGACCTTGCTAAGAACGCTAAGGCCGCAGGGGTTGAGTGGCCTAGTGGGGACAGCCGAGTTGCCAAAGCAGCTGCCCGAATCCAAAAAGCCTTGCGAAAACAACGCCTTCCGGCACAGACCGTGCCAGTGGCCGCGCAATTCCGCTTATGCCCAGGGATATGGTGTGGCATGGACGAGCAGCCGGTGCCCATCTTGCAAAACCTTTGTCCAGGTGCAACAGGTGTTATCCTGCAGGACGCCGCCGCAACAACCCCTGAAGACCTTGCCTTGCTAAGGACAATGGAGTCGGATGCTCTGTGTGTGGCGGTGTTGGGGTACGATTGCCCAGAGCCTTCGACCTGCGGGGGAACCATTAGTATCTCGGCCGAGGATGTGGAGACCGGGCGTCCACACCTCCTCGCCGGGTGCTTCCACAACGTAGGGGCCACGGATGTGCAACCAAAGTACCAGACGCAGGCTGCAGTGACAGTTGAAGGCATGGTGTGTTGCGCTTTCACGGTGTATAGGGATGATCTCCCTGCAGAGGTCCAGTGGTCCCACTTCATTGAAAGCCCGGTTCGCACAGCCCAGCAACAACTGCAGGCCCAAGGCGTTGAAAAGCCCTTCGTCAACCCGTGGGGCCGCACATACCGGGCAGATGGAAAACCGGTTGCGCCAAGCCAAGCTGACTCTTTGCAGTTCCATGCCAAGGTGCCTGACTCCATCCTGCGCACTGTCCTCCAGCAAAGCGGCTTCTGTATGGTGTACGTTGTGCCCAAAGCGTGGGGGGATTCAAGACCCTTGCCCGGGTGGTCGGTTGTTTGGCTCGCAGGCTCTAAGGCTGAGGTTGAACGACAGGCCCTCGTTGTCCCATCTCAACATGGCCTTGTTCGGGGCCGACGCAGGTTCGGAATACGTGTCCCGGCCGACGCCTTTGCTGCTGTCTTTCAGCAACTCCGCCCATCGGACCCAATTCCAGAAAACATCCCAGTCTCTAGCTTGTACAAGGTTGGCCCCTTGCCAGCTACAGCCTCTGAGCGCGATGTCCTTACATGGGCGAGCAAGCTTCCATGGAAGGTCAAGGTTCTGAAAATGTTAGGACCAGCGTACTACCTCCTGGGCACAAATCAGGAACCTCCCTCCCTTCAGCCGGCCTTCAACGGCACGCCTGTGCTTGTGTCTTACGTGCAGCCACGTCAATCCACGCGTCGGGTCATCCAGGCTGAGGAACCCCCTCGCGCGCCAGTGCCATCGTCAGCGTCCGCTGCTGCTGCTGACACACAGGACCCGTGGTCCTCCCAAGACCCGTGGGGTCAGTACCTCGCAACAAAGGCAGCGGGGCCGACGGCGCCGCCACGCCTTCCTCCGCAACCTGCAAAAGGCCTTGACGGGCAGGCAGCTGCACGCCTCACTGAACAAGACAGACGACTGCATGCCCTGGAAACAAGTATTGCGCAGCTGCAGGGAGCAGTCGAGAAGGAGTCAGTGGACAGGAAGTCGGACCTCAAGAACCATGCGGACGATTTGGGGCGCGTCCGCGCAGACATGCAGCTCCTAAGCAATCAACTGGGTCAACAGCTCAGCTCTA